CGCTGCTGTAACACTTGTGCACGCCCGCGAGCGTGCATATTGCGGGGAAAATAGCTTAGTTTCGCCGTGGGACCGAAATTAGATTTCGTTCGGGAAGACGTTCCAAATGTTCGCTCTCTAACCTTCCTTTCCTTTATCTGTCCTACGCCGCTTCTCCTCGAGATACCCACCCATCCTGCATTCATTCTTTCGCTTCTCCTCTTCTTCTTTACTCCGGACCGTCGCGTTTTCTTCTTCCTCTCTCGGCGTAAGTTTCCTCGCTCTTCCTTCTTTCCGTGCCGAGATTCCGGTTTCCCCGGAGACGCTCGACGACGTCGCGACGCTTCTCCACGTTCCGCGGTACTACGCATATTTCACCTATTTTTATGGAATTCCTCGTAGACTTCTTTCCGGTCCCTACCCTCGGCGATTCCTTTTTGCTCCTTCTTTATTTCGATTACGAATGTATCTCATCTTTTTCCTTTTTTACTCGTTTAGTACTCCTTTTCTCGCTTTTTTCTTTGCGTTCTGTACTCCTGTTATTGCTTGCTTTACATTTACATTTTTTTATTAATCGTTATTTTGTTTCTTATCTGTAGCGTGTGACATGTATTTTATTAATAATATATAAACATGAAATATTATGGTATTAGATTTTAGATACACATTTCTATTTATTTTTCTACTGATTCTACTGATTTTATTATATAAAAATGTTTTTAATTTTTATATTCTTTAGCTTTTTGAATTAATAATTTATTTTAATTTTATTTATAGTAATTCTATATTTTAATTAGTAAATAATTTTATGTGAAAATTATCTATAGTAGCAATAGCTTATTAAATGTTGCAGTAATCACATGTTAAGAGTTAATGTTTCATGACAACTGATTGCATATGCTCGTTTAGCAAAAGAGGATTTGCTTTAGGTACATATTTGCAAATAGACTGTAGGCGTATATCGTTACCTTTTAATCGTGTGGAATATATAATCACACGTTATCCTTCTTCGCTCTCACGCACGAAGGTTAACGCTTCAATAAATTAATTATATGTGTGAAACTGCATGTTACTAATCTAGCTAACCTAATTAGGAATTGTGCATATCCTATAGCACAAATCACTTGTATGTGTCATATCTATAAATACCTGTTATCTTTTGCAATCATAAGAGCGATTACATATTTATGATTGCAAAAGATATATGTCAATCTACAAAACATAATTAATTAAAACTAACGACTGTATAAATAATTTATATATAAATGTAATATATGCAGAGAGAAGTTTTTACTATTACATTTAGCTTAATAATTAGCTAAAAAATTTTACATGAGATTTTTCTTCTCTTGCTTGCTTTTTGTTTATATTATAAAGAACATATCAATTTTACTTCTAGATATGAATAATGCGCATACACTTACATTATAATTCTAATTTACAAATAATGATAATTAGTTTAGAAAATTCTAAAGGCAAAGGTTAATCTTGTTTGTAAGTCAACTTTAGATTCCACACGTGATATAAAGACTTTCACTACAAGCACGTTAATATTAATAACGGCAATATTAATCAAGATTTAATATGAGAACTATATCATTAATATCCATATGAGATCTTTTCTTTTTTCATTTATAAAACAAAAAGAAACGATCGTCTCTTTATTTTATGCATTTTACTACAGTTCTCTTTTTTTATTATAAGGCTTTCGGAAAAATCAAATTTTATAAGATTGTCGAAATTCTTTCGATACACATTACCTATCATCTTTCTCCGCTCACTATTTTGTTATGCTCTCTTTTCATGAGATAGACCGTAAAATAGCATATGCAATATAAATAAAATCGCGTTTCATTTAATTTTTTATATCTAGCGATTATTAAATTTGCCCCAGTAAATATAATAATAGTAATAAAAGTAGTATTAAGTAATATTAAATAATATTATGTAAATATAAAAAGTAATATTAATATTTACTTGCAATTAATAAAAAAAATATATAAAAATTATTTTTAAAACATAGATTAAGAAAGATATTAACAATCTAAAAGAAAATAATATGCTAGATATTTTAAAATCGTCATTTTTTTTATTATTTACAGATTTTTTAACCAAATTAAACTAATTTTTTATAAAAATTTTTTACAGCTTTTGTTTAATAATTTTTTTTTTTAAGTTATGACTGTGACAATTTTTAGAAATAAGTTTAAAAAATTGGGTAAAAAGGAGATAGATTTTGATCAAGTATTAAGAAATTGTTTTTATATTTGTCATCTAAACAACAATGAGGCAATATTAGTTACATTACTTTTTGTGATAATTATACTCGCGTGGTAACAAAAATTTGTGTCAGAAACCCACTTTTTATTACGGAAAGAACATAATATGTGAGAACAGCGCTAATTTAGTAGCTTTATAATGACACACGTTACGTATTGTTTTAAATCGTGACCACACGTACCAAATTGCGAGAGCAAGCATTATGATGCTTTCTTGCTTGATACGAAAAGATTGTCCGCGCGTACAAAAAGAAAATATGATTTCGATTAAATCGAATGACGAGGAGAAGCCAGTTTTTAGAACATCTGGATAAAATTCTAACTTAAATAAGTATCGTTATCGTTCAATCATTTCCTACATAATCTCGTTTTTTTCGGCTCGCTTTCAGCAACTGTTTGCTATTCACAGGAAAGACAATTTTGCCTTTGGCGATGGAGCGACGTCGGGCATACCAGCAACGATACATCGGAGACTCCGCTTGTCGGCTTGCCTTATATTCCGTATATATCGCCCATGAGGCAACAACGTGCCTCCTGAGATCAGTATGACTGTCGGTGTGTACGGATACGACGTCAGTATGGAAATAAAGCACTTCCGAGCTTGGCGAAAAATGCATACGTTCCCGCTGGCTAACCCTTGAAACCTTCCTTCGAGATCCCATCCAATCCCTCCTCGTCACCGAAGCTAGGTCTCGAAGGACCGGCAACTCCACGCGGTAGGACGTACGATTAAAATTGCACCAGAAGGAAGTCGTTACGCGCCTTTGGATGGGGAGATCGCCCGAGCGCTAATAAAATTCGCTTCGTCTTTGTAGACATCGACTGTTTTTTTTCCATAGCAAACACTGTAATGTCTCATGCAGGTTCGATGAATTTTAACGAGTTCCGGAAATTATTATCACCCGCTAAATATATTCGTTCCTCAATACCTGACGTGTAATCTTTTAAACATGAAACGAGATAACCTTGTTATATTTTTTTTATGATATTATCTCTCTTTCGACTTTATAATAGATTCTATCAAGGCTACTTCTTTTAAGCGCGGAGAAACATAAAAAAAGTTTTGGTACAGTATAAATTTTGTAATTTTTTGTCTTTCTCTTTTCTTGTTAGTACGATTGTTATTTTAGTTAGATAACTATAAAAATATACATATATAATGTTCTGTATAATTTTAAATTAAATTAACTAAATTAATTAAAAGCAAATTTTTTTTATTATAAATATTTTAAAGTTTAAAAATTTTCAAGCTAAAAAACTTGGCTTATAAAAAAAGACGTTTGAGCAAAATCGACAATACATATACTTGTTTCGTCGCATATTCCAAACTATTTATTTATATTGTATTTAAAATTGACAAAATATGATATATCTAGGGTATCACTGTAAATCAGTTTATTCAGCGCAACCAGCTGATTTAACACGAGCAAGCTTGTCTTTCCAACAGAAAACGTGTGAATATTCTCATAGCATCAGATTACACAGGAAGTTTCATGATCATATTGTCTAGTAATGCGAAGTAGTAAGTAGTAGAGAGGAAGCGAAGGAAGACACGTAAAACAATGAAGAGACAGTGGAGAAAGAAGTCGATGAATAGTGACGGCATGCGGATCCGCATGCGGAAAATCTGCGAATAACGATTTTAGCACTGGGCGCTAACCATTCCAACTCGAAGGCAAGAGAGGCAGATAGCGTTTCATTTACATAACCCTAATTCTACTTAATGGCAGATACCTAATTCCCTCATACGTTTCCTTTGCTCCGTCGTGCCAGAATTCGCGGTATTTAGGCGACCGCCGATTTAGCCGAGCACTTTCTCGAGACAAACACTTTCGGATGTGTAAACTTGTAATCCACATTACGGCGGGCCAATCTCTGTAAATGGACTCGAAAACAACATGTTTCTGTAATATCTTAACGCTAATACTTACTATTGTTAATATGAATGGTTTGGTATAATGCACGCTTTAAATAAAGAACAGATCATATAACATTGGAATAAATAAGTATAGAGAAAAAAATAACATATTTAAAAAATAATAAGTAGTAATTCCTTTTTTCGCCAGTGATTAATAAAATAAATCAAATAATTTTTAACGACCCAACTGGCATATATTTATCTAACCAACAATAAAGATATATTTTTATGCCAGTTGGGTCGTTAAAATTATTTGATTTATTATATTAAAAAAATTTTACAATGCATATTACATTAAAAATTTCGTTTTACAACATTTACCGTAAAACTAGAATATAATAATGATAAGATATTTATTAGTATAAAAATTGTAAATTGTATGTATTTTATTTTATTATTTGTTTAGTATATATGCATATGCGCATTGAAATATTTGAATAATTACAATACTCTTTTGTAAAACAGAATAACGTAAATAATATTATTGAATAAAAATATATATTGTAATTTTTTTGTATATTTAGTGTGTTCTACGATTACAAAAATTATATTCGAATTTTATTATAGCAGATTTTTATTGTCAGTGTTTTATATTTAATTGTAATATAATAAATAAATGTAGGATATAGGTAACAAGGAGCGAGAAAGCAAGAATAAAAATTGAGCTCTATTTACAAAGTATTCATATATTTACATGCGGAGTATATATTAAAAGTTCAAGAAGCTAATAAGATCGTTATATCCGGCGAGTGATAACATTGATTGCTCGTCGGATATAAGCTAAGCTAAGTAAGTGCTATACACACATACATAGACAACTTCTTTCGCATATATATATATATATATAAAATAATAAATTAAAATTCTAAAAAAGTAGGTGGAGATATGGGTTAGGAGCAAGTGGATGCGTTTTATGGCTTGGCAGTATCGTAACTGCGTACTTCGCAACAATGAGCGTCTCTCCCTTAAACGTATACGCTCTACTTATTTTACGTATCTGCAATACACCAAGTTATGCATAACCGTTTGCCAGGCGAAATCATAAAAATGCAAGAGCTTTAAGATTACTCGGGATTTTAACGGCGCGCTTTCACGATATACGTACTCATTTTCAACTTACGCGCGGAATTGCGAATCGTGAGTCGCATAAAGATCGTTAATACGCGCACGGCGGAAGGAAATAACGTTTCGTTGCTCATGGCATTCTCGTGCTCCTTGATAATATCGACGTTTCGCGATTGCTCCGCATTTCCGCCTTAAGCATGCGTACGACCACGCATTTTTTCTCTTTCTCTTTATTGTTTTCGCGCACACGTAGGTATATAACAGTAGACTAAACGTATCCATTCGGTTATCTGGTGACGAGGACATGCAAAACCGAGCGTAACCGCGCTTGAACGCCCGCAGAGAGACGAGCAATGCGTTTCACTCGGAATGAAATTCTCATAGAGCTCGGCACTATTCCGCCGGGTCATTAAACGAGGTTTTGAACTTTCACCTCGGCTGAAGGCTGAAACCGCGAAAGGTACCATTGCTGTCGATCATGTTCCACCGACCGGAAAACGTCCAAGCGATTTTACGCGGATATAGCTACATCGCCGGCTGTATATGTAATCCGCCTGAGAGCGGTTCCGTAACCTATTGACCCACATGAATATTAATAAACGCGCGAAATATCTTGTGTACCGTTTTCATTTACATCGTGACAAGAGGAGCGAATGCTAACTTTCGTTAGATTAGACCGAAAGTGGTGGCATCGATTATCCCGACAAAAAAAATCGTTCGATATTGAATAATTTCCTTAAACCTCGCTCTTTTTTGAAAGGATCATCGAGCCGACGAAATTTCCATTTACAAAGATAAGATAAGCCGCTGACGCGAGGACACGGAAAATTGATGAAGCGTTCTGGATTCTGTCTCCTTCGGATCTCAGTAAACATTTGACCCGATAACACAGGATCATTATTTATAAATGCAAAATCTTCTTACACGATAAAAGTATCGAGGATACTCGTGTTTATTTCTACAATCATACTCTCGCAATCTTGGTAGAAGATGAAAAGTTCTTGTGCAAGCAGATGACTCGTCTAATAACCTGTCATCGATATACTGGCCAATAAGTAATTATTACTTTCGCTTACTTGCGAGCAAATAAGAAGAAATAGATTACATAAACTTTCATGCCACGGTTTATGCCTTCTAATTCTAGTTTTCAACTAATCAACCTTTTTTAAAGAATATTATTACTTGAAATTGTATAAGTTTAGATTTTTACTTAAAACAATTTAAAAAAATAAATAAAATAATTAAAAATATACACAGTTTTAAAAAATAAAGAAATAAAACAAGTTTTGAAGGTTTTAACATTAAATTGCAAATCAATTTATTGCAATTTATTTGAAAATAAAAATCTTATTATTAGTTTGTTAATATGTAGAAATATAATCGTTCGTATTCAACGGCTGCACGTTTAATCAAAAATATCACCAAAAAATGTGTAACGCTTCAAATATCACTATACAAGAAATTAAATATTTTATCGCGAATATCGATAGATTTAAAAACTTTCACCAAAATATTTTATTGGTCGACCGCAAGCAAAGAATATAAATGGCATCACGTTAACAGCAATATCTTTTCTTGTCGGAAATCAAAAGTCTTTACGATATGAATTAGAGCGATCAAGATTATTATTAAAAATACTTATCAAATATTTTTACAAAGACACTTATTATGATTTAAAAGACGAGAAGGAATTTGTTTTACTGTTATTTTGCTCATTTGTCTTCGCGACCTGCATTTCGCTTTTCGACACAGACCTGATTTCTTTTCTCGTTTCACCGTATTTAGTATCAAAAAATAATGCGATTGAAGGCTGATTTTTGGAATACTTTGTATCTTCGCGTTTCTCGTTGACTTTTCCGACTTGATTTTGTAATTTGTTCTGTTCCTGATTATCTATAGTGATAAAATGACCATTAATGCCACCGGTCTCTTGCGGCAGATCAAACATTTTTTGCAATTGCTGAACTTGCGGCGTGCTTTGTAATTGTATAGGACCATTCCCCGGCTGTTCTATAGCTGCCAGTATATCTTGAAGTAGGCCATCAGACAATACCTGATCGTGTCTAATGCTGCCATCCGAGTTCTCGGTGCCGAGGCCTCCGTCTGCTGCTTGTATCTGCAATCTGTAAGTGCCCTTGGAACCTTGAATCTCAAAATCATCGGCATTGTCGGCGGTCAGCCGTTGCGCCAGAGACAATGCCTCGCTACCTTCGTTCGATTTCAAGAATTGACTAGCGTCCACCTCGTTTAACTCGAGATTCTTCTGTTGGCCAAAGGCTTGCGCGGTCAAGCTTGCTGTCAACGCTGCAGCCGATATTCCATTCGAGCTTTGCTCAAACGATGCCGTGGAATAGCTGTTCTGGGACTGACTAGACGGGAGCTCGTTCGAAACATCCGTGGCGGACGCGTGAACAGCGCTTGCTTCATTGGACGAATCGTAAGTTAATCCTATGGGATTCCCGTAACTGTCTTTGAGATTCGTCTTCTGTTGTTCGTTATGTTCCAAATCTAGCGTGTTCACCGACGGACCTCCCAGGAAGTTATCAAGCGGCTTAATAAGCGGCAATGCATTGTCCGCAAAAATGGAATTTTGATGATTATTCTCGGATAAATCATTTCCCACGCCGGAAGTCCCTACATTTTCGTAACCGAGCTGTAGCTTGCCATTAGAATGCGCGCCTCCATGCGTGGATAATCCAGCATCCAATGATAGCCCCTCGCCCGAGGGCACTTCACCGCCCGAAGATAAGCCTCCACTCAAGTGCAGCTCTCCGGTGGAATGCGATTCTCCGCTTGAAGCTAAACTACCGCTTAAAGGTAGCTCTCCGTTCACGGAATATCCTCTGTTTGAATGTAACGCTTCGTTCACAGGCAACAGTGGCAAAGAATTGCAGTCGTGACCGCCACCGATTGATGGCGCGTTCACCACAGGCGTGCCATATGTGGCTGTCAGCGCGTTATTAATCCCGCTATAGAGATTACTACCGAATCCGGAAGACGTTGAGATGAAGGCGGTCGGTGGACCGAAGTTAGGCGCTCCGTAAGTTAAATGAGGCGCCGGTGTGTTGAAATCAGTAAACGATAATGGCGTTCCGTATTGAACATGCGGCGCAGCAATCGCAGAATTTAAATTATGCACGTTGAACGAGCCGAAAGAACCGGGGAATGAATTGCTCGATCCCGATGTATGGCGAAAAGATACTGGCACGTGAATGTTCGGCAAGTGCTGTTTTGTAGGTGGCGGTAAGTATCGATTAATATTTGATAAGAGCCTCGTCGGTATCGGTTCCCTGAATTTTATCGGTTCTCGGTTCCGCGGTGGTATCAAAGAACCGGGAGGAATCGCCGGCGGCCTAAATGGACCATGATGTCTGTGATGATGCAGATTTTGCTTGTTAAAGGAGCTTCCGAATATTCCGAATGACGAAAACAGTGGTCCACCTCGTCCTCCTTGCGCTGCCGAATAAGGTCCAGTGGGCGAGTAAGAAGACGGAGGTGGCGCGCCATAAGTATCTAAAGGCGGAGGAGAAAGCAAGGCTGTCCCTGATATAAAATCACCGGGTTGTCCAAAAGTCGTGGTTGTTAAGGGTGCGCCATAATCGTTTGGTGGCGTCGCCTGCGGTAGCTGCTGCAAGGACAGATCGTTCTCTATATTCTGGAATCCGTGAGAATCTCCGCCATTGTTTAATACGTTAGCGTGAGAATTTTCATCGTTCGATTCCGAGTGAAGCGGAGCGGAATTGGCGTTAATCGAATTCGAGATATGATTGTACGACGGGGCATCGGGAGTGCCACCTGATAACGATAAACCTGAGAGATCTCCCCCATTCAAAGCGCCCGTTGTGGGCAATAGTTCGAATCCTACTGTTTTTACAATAGATAACGGTTCGACGTTCGGCGTTTCTTGCTGTAAGTTTTGCAGTTGTTGCCGACCGAACTGGTGATCGGATTGGCTGATCGTAGCGATGACGCCTGGACCTTGATTATTGTGTAAAGGCTCGTGTTGCGGCAACGCCGGCGGCGGTAATCCATTGCTCTCCGAGGAAGCCGAGGATTCATGCACGGAGGTCTTCAAATTGTGATCCTCCGGATTATTTAACGGCACACCGTAAGAATCGCTAGGCACATTCGAATTCGCTGCGACACTCAGGGCGGCATGAGATAATTGCGATCCCAGGGAGGATGAACTTTCGATATAATTGTGCTTCGCTTCGAGAGGAGCGGCATATGTATCTGTCGGCGGACCACTTTGTTTGGGAGAAGTGGCCACTCCGGCGATAGGCTGCCATCCATCGTACTTTATGTCAGGTGGTGTGGGTGGCGCTGGAACTCCTGGCGGAGGTGCTGGTGGCGGAGGTCCGTATAAATCACCAGCCGGTGGACCGTATTGCGGTTGCGGAGCGGATACGGGCGGCGGTGGTGGACCGTACTCGTCATTGGGCAGAGGATTAAATTGAATAGCTAATTTCGGAGGCGGCGGACCGTAAGTCTCGAGCGATATAGGAATAGGTGGTCCGTGACCCGGCTTGGACGGCCCGTGCTGATTCACCGGTAGCGGCGATATATATTGCTGGCTCGATGTACCAATGAACTTCAATGGCAGACCGTATTGAGGTTTCGGTGATATAAACGAAGGGAACGAAGCCGACGGCGGTGTAAAATGTTGCTTCGGCAGCCCATAATGAAGCTTTTGCGGGCTGTAAGCAGGCTTCGAAAGAACGGGCGATATTGCCAAACCGAAACTTTGTTTCGGTGGCCCGTATTGTGGCTTAATACTTCGTGGAGGCCCGTATGAAACGGCCGGCGGTCCAAATACAGGTGGCGGTAATTCCGGCGGTGGCGGTGGATAAATGGGCGTTGGTCCAAGGCTGCCGACTAACTCCGGAGGTCCGTATATCGGCGCCGGTCCATTAAAACTCGATCCTAACGGTGGCCCGTACTCGTCAGACGGAGAATCGAAAGTATTACTTATTCTATCGTCGGCTTTGGCCTTCGTGGGTTTCTCTTCTTCCTTGGTTAATGGTATTTGCGAGGTCGCCTTGTTGACTACCGCTTGTACATGATGTCCAATCAACAGAACGCAGAACAGCGCGATTAGCATCTAAAAACAGAACGGGTTGTGACTACAATCGGAGAAAGTGACTTCACGGCTTTTGCAATTAATATTTCGTTTCTCTATTTCCCACACTATCGTCGCGTTTATTATTATACCGAAAAGAAACTTGTAGCATAATACCAAATTATGTAAAGATATAATAATACGTCGCGCGTCCAAGATCTCGGAAAATTTAACTGCAGCAGACGCATCACAATTTCGTAATGAAGATTTGTAATATAATTTCATACATAAAATTTCACTCACATATATATGTCTCTATGACTTTAATTTATATTTAAATATATAAATGTGTAATTGAATTTAAATAGTAATTACAATTTTAATATTATAAATACATATGTACATTATATTGCATTTTAAAAAGATCTTAAATTAGATACACTTATTCAATATTAAGATGCAAATTGTCTCTGTTTTTATGTATTTTTACTTTCGCATCTTTATTTCTTTAAATAATCATGGTATAAAATATCAGAGCATGCAAAGTATAATAAACACATACACACATATATAATATCTTATAAGATTATCTATTCCATCGTATAAATATTATTACCAAAAATAATAAGGAAGTAATTATGCCTTGTGTCATATCCATTCAAGCATCTAAAAAACTAAACAGTATGTGTTAATTAGTTTGTTGGATGCTAAGAATAGTTTTGCAGTACATAGGAGATCACCCATGCTACTCGTTATTGTGTAGCAACTATATTAGAGGCCGTGAGAATTTCTGTATTATTCGGTTAAAATCAGGGAAGGGATCGCTGCAGTATATGTGAAAATTATGTAAAACTACGTTTACGTATTCCGAGCATTAAAGAGGCGTGCACGAATGAATAATTACGTTATAATTGTAACTGGAATAGCGCATGTTGCATAAAGACGAGTTACGAAAAATAGACAAGTGATATACTTTTTTTGAAAAGTTAACACTTTACTCATTTAAGTGAATATTAATTGATAATAATTTTAATACAAAGAAATTATATATGCATACATACTATATACATATTATACATTTTATATAATCTTAAAAAGTACATAATTACGTTCTAAGAAAATATTTCAACAAGATCTATTTACCTCATCGATTGTGATTATTATAACGATCAGCTAAGTATTCTCTCCATGACATATAAAACTAAAGACAGTATGGAATGCGCAAAATTTGTGTGCGCGCGATTTTCATTTCATCATAAATATCTCTTGCAAAAGAAACTATTATCTATGCTAGAAAAATGCTTATTTTTAAGTATATTACGTCTATAATATATTGACAATAAGTATTAAATTATAAATATATAGCAGCATATATATATTTTATATCACATATGTACATTCACATATACATGCAATAGAATTTAAAAATTATTTTTATAAAAATTCATTTAATAAAATTTTTTAATTATTTTATACAAAAATTTAGTATACAATTATTTATTGTAATGTTATAAATATATATAATAATAAAAAATTGTTATAAATTATATACAAAACGTAAAAACAATTGCTATAGCATTTTTCTATGTATATGTTTTCTTTTTAAAAAATATCAGATTTTGATGAAAAGAAACGATGAGAACGAACAAGCTCATCGTCTGTCATTGCCGGCAAGAAACCAGCGACTTCTTCTTTTAAGTGGCACGATGGCCGAGATGCAAGGCTAACATAGTCACCGTACTTTCTCCTAAGATCACGGGAAATGCTGGCAATGTATAGCAATAATTGTAATTTCAAATAATTGTTTCTTAAAAAAATGCTTTTCTTTTCTTATTTTTATTTTGGTATTTAATTATTTATATTCGAATAATGTTTTTTAAAAGTCAATTAAAAATAACTAAAGATTTTGTAATAATAGAGAAAATAATAAAGTAACTTAAAACACACATATTATACGTATGCAAATAAATATATGTACATATATCTTTATGTCTCCAAATGACATATCTCATTGTCAGCTTTACTATTATGATATAATTATTAATAGTTATTTGCTTGTCAAGACTTTCGATTAATCGGTATATTATACGCAACCGGTTTCTGATAAAATTTGTATATCGCCAATAGCTTATTATACAATATCTTTATCATATATAATTCCATACATATTTATAAAGATATATATGAAATATACAAAGATTTAAGAAAAAGAATAAAATAAATTTTTAATTTATAATATAATAGCAAAATTTTGAAAATTTGTAATTGCTCGCAGCTCATATATCTGTGAATAACATTAATCAGTTTTTAATTAAAAATTTTGATTAATAAACACATATAATCTTGCGAATTATTATAATAATATCGATAAATTTTGTTAATTTGATTTACAATCATCAAAATAAAGTATAACAATATTTTTGACAACTTTCATCAACATAACAAATATAGATTAATAAGACAATATATACACAATGTATCAATGTATTTAAAATACACATATGTATACCTTTCATGAATCTTGAATTAGATTAATAAAAATATAAGATTTTTAAAATATTAGTTGTACAGAATACTAAATTTATAATATGGCTTTCAATATTAATATATATATATATATATATATATATATATATCCTGCATTTTTATGTATCATATTGTTATTATTGATCATTTAATAAAATGATCTAATAATATGCTGTATGCAGCATAAAGAATAATATTTATAAAAAATTAGATCGTATCTAAATTTCGATTGTAATTTAAAATATCTATTGATTCATGATTACAAGCATTGATTATATGAACATAATATATTAAGTAAAAAATATTATTTCTTTAATAAAAATAGTATTTGTTTTTAATTGTAGATAATCACTTTTGCACCTATAAATTGCTTTTATATACAAATACATTATTCTTTATTACCCGTATAGAAATTCTTTGTCTTAAACTTTCGTTTTCATGCATATTTCATCATCACGTATGCGGGAAAACGCAATGATCTATATTTCTTAAATTATTATTATTAACAACTTTTATTTATTCAGTATTACATTTTTATATCTTTTTGTGTTATACATGTATACGTGTACATAATATGCTTCAAAATTATTTTACCACTCAAAGATCAATTAAAGGGTTATATAAAATAGTTGAGCAAACTAATTAGAAGCATTGATTCAACCAATATCTCAGATTAATAAAAATCGATAAGAAATCAGCAATTACTTAATCTTTGAATGGAAATCGTCGCAGTGCAATTATCGATAATATGCCTAAAATTTCTTTCGTGCGCTTTCTTCATAATATACATGCGCCCCTCCTTATTAGTACGAAAATTTATTCACATCGAGGGTGTAATGAATTTCTGCGCATTAAAGTGCTTTATTCATTTTTTTCATTTCTAAATAAAATTGAAATGCCACGCGATACATATACATATATATAAAAACCGATAAATTAAAATACGTTCGTTCTCATCGATTATATGGACATATATATTTATACGTCAAATCAACAAAATATTATCGTATACTTATAAACCAAGATTTAATAAAATTTAGAATTTTTACATAATTTTCTAGGAAACTTTAATAAAATTCTTATTCAATTAGATTTTCTATTAAAATTTTTTTAAATAATTAATAATTATATTAGTAATAACAAATCGAAATAGTTTATTACAGTTAAATAGAGAATATTTATAAACAAACGTAAATGAGCCAATAATGGCTCGATAACTAATTAATATATAAAACAATATTTATGAATAATTTTACATATGAGAAAATGAATATATAAATATAATATTTACTTTAATTACTGTACAGTAAAATATAAATTATCACGCGAGGATGCAAGTACTACTTCAAAGCGTTAAAAGCATCATGCATAATAAGAAAGAACGCAATTATGTTAATGAAAATTGCAACCAATGCAGTAGTTATTTTTTCGAATAAAATTTATTATTTATCGATATTTTAAAATGCACATGTTGTATCGCTACAAGTATTTTCAGATATGCATGCTTACATTTCAAAAATGTACATTAAAATTGTAGACACAATTAGTATTGAAGTGATATTTAGTTAAAACATCTGAAACAAAGTCCATGTAAACTAGATATAAGGACAAATGAATAAAACTCGCATTTATCGCACATATTTTCAAATTTAAACTCACTCCGCTAAACCAGTTACACATTTGAACAACATACCGTAAAAGCATAAATATACTTGTAATTGAAACACTGCGCAAAGCTCTAAAGCAGAGAAAAAGATTTATTCTTTGATGTAACTGCATTCACATCACATTTTCATTAATTCCTAAGAGGCTAAACGTTCTGAGCGAACCAAGCACGATAATCCCAGACTCGCTGTGACCTACCTTGAATTTAACCATGACACACGCGCATAAACCGCAGTCTCGGCACTACACACAAATTATCCGACACTACTCCGAGATTTCCCTTGCTCTTGACGCGCTCTGTCTACTTTTCGCCACCGCACTTTAAAGGAAATCGCGTCTACTCCAAGCTCGTCGTATGCGATTTAACGGTGGCTTTTCGTATCACACGTCGCGCACACCATACTGGCACTCGTCGGCCCGTAGCCTCTTTGACAGACGAGCGCCACGACTCGCCGGTACTAACACAAAAAATGTTCAGTCTCGTATGAAGACTCTGCTTATATAGACTCCGAGAGGGCTACGAGTCGGAGAAGTTGTCGACTGAGGTTGTCGGGTGAATCGCGGAAAGGAGACCCGGGAAGAGGAGAGAGTGAGTACTCGCCTAAGGGTACTGAGAGAAGAGAGAGGGCACAAAGAAAGAGAGAGAGAGAGAGAAGGATGACGGCGACACGAGGAAGATGAGAACGCGAGAAGAGGGAGCCCTCCTCACACGTCGTTTAAAAATTCTCTTTGTAGAGAAAGTAGGCTAGAGCCCTGCCTCTGTCTCGCCGAAGAAGTCGAAGATGCAGCGTGTATATCTCTTCGGTCCCCAGTGATTACGACGCGCTCGTCGCGTGAAACTGGTTGTAAATCCTTCCACGACACACAAAAGGTACCTTGAAAGGCTTGGTCAACCGGGTATCCCATCCTATGCTCACGTCGACAACAAGAATCGACGTGAGTTATCGGCTGCGTATTTGCTGGCGTATCTTGGAAACCCAAAAAATAAAATACAGTATGACAATTTGCATAAAAATGCAAGTGAAACTTGTGGTAAACTTTCCATGCATCTTACAATTGCGAAGTGAATTCTATAGATCCAGCTTGCGTTGACCAAAAACTAAACGGCTCTGACACGGCAATTGTAGTAAGATTTATTGTCCCTTTTCATTTTTATTCTCGTTTAAGACATTTGTCAACGCCTACTTTAAAGATTGGCCAAGAATCAGATGCATTATTGAGTCTTGAAGGATGTACATCAATAGTATTGCATCGTATGTATGCACAAGAAATCTGATGCAATGCGACGTAATAATTTGCACTATGGTGAATTGTAGATTGATGTAATCTTTAATCATACTCATTAACTATCGCAATGTGCTTGGAATGCGTAAGAATATGCGTAGCGATATTAAAACGCGATATGAGAGAACAACTTGTCCCTTTTTTATCAATAAAACCTGTATTTCACCGGAAACATATTTATTACTTATATCTTCATCTGTGTAAATGAGTGAGTAGTAAATGAAGGATGATCATTAGTGATTACATGTTCCGAAGTGAAAAGAAGTTTGTCGGTAGAACACAATAAAATTATTATAGAGATCATCGATGCGGTAGTAATTTATTTTTCTTGCTATTTATGTAAAATGTAAATTACTATCAATTAATCGCATAATCGATAATCCCATTTCCTTTACACTTATTAATATTAAGCATATAATTCATTAAGAAAATTAATTAGGGAAATGAAATTAATATATTATACCTTTTTCCTTATAGAAAAATACAAAAACGATGTTACAATAAATATCTCTATTTTTTGACATTTGTAACAACTTAAATAATACATTTATTAATGTCAAGATGATAAAAAAATATTTTAAAAATTATTTAATGCTGTAATATTAATTTGTAATACTTATAATTCTAAATTATTGTTATTATTTTAATAAACAAACTTGCTGAGATTTTGTTATCAAAATCTAAAATTCGTATAATTATTTCCTTTACGATCAAAAATGTAAAACTGATCTATAATTAAATAGGTACATGTTTTATTAAATGCACACGAAAAGGTAGACTATGTAATTGACCTTCGATCGTTTGTACGAATCTCGGCCACTGTCAAGAACGGGTGAAATTTAACCGGTATCATACACGTACGCACACACACATACACATACTCTACTTAAAGTTTCTGCTACACACATTTGCACGCAATTGTGCGGTCATATAATAAAAAATTCGGCTTAACTGATCTATCAGAATATTGAATGTCTAATTAATATCCAAATATATACTCCATTTCTTGTAAAACTTTTGTGAAACTTAAAAGTTATAAGTTATTATAATTACAAGACATTAAATTGATATAACATTTGACAATTATTTGCTCAAGTTACAATTAGTAAAATTACAACTAGTAAAATTTTTCTTCAATATATTTGGTAAATGTCAAATCTATTTAAAACAAACTTAATTGTAGAATTTCAATAATTTAATTTCTTTTTATTCTAATATGTGAAATTTGAGATGACAAATATATTCGATTATTTTTGTATATTTTTAATTTATTTTTCGATTATTTCTAAAAAAATTTATTATAAATAAAAATAATTCAAAATTCGGTTACTAGATACAATTGATAGTGAGTGATACGGTTGATAGATAAGTGTACATATAAATATAGAAAGAAATTACACATTTAATCATCTAACGCGTACATATGCACACACAACATTAATAAAATACTTAATTAATAAAATAATTAAGATTATATAAGAACGTTACTGTTAGACTATTAATTATTAATCTAGTCTGTAGTTTTTTCTAAAGTAATAAAAATTATTTTTGAGTACAACAAACAATTAAGTCCCTTAATAAAAGTCAAAATTTTTCACCCAACTAAAAACTTTTATGCATTATTTTATAGTTTATATCGAATATTATTAAAATATCTTGAAGCTTTTAATCATGTTCCGGAGTTTTATTTGCTATAGAATAAACAGACAGAAGAGAAAAAGAAAGAGGGAGCAAAAGATATAGAGAAAAAGGGAGGAAGAGAGAAAGACAGAGTAGCAGTTTCCGTATGTGTGCATACCGGATGCAGCAACGCATACATACGCCTGGCCCATTGAGATCCATTACGTTGTCATCAATAATTCAGCGGAAAAGTGCCGCCCCTCATGGTCTGGCTTTGCTTGTCTGTTGGCAGTACCATCTACCGCTGACGCTGTTACTGCCGCAAAAATCTCGAAATAACGAGAGACCCCCGCAAACAAAATTGTTTCATCCGAAAGTCTGTGCGGAACGGTAAAGGTAACTAGTTGCGGTACGCGCGCTAGAATTAATTGTCCAACGACACCATCCATCGGAATTTTTTCAGCCATTCTTTATTCCTCTCGGCAAGTCGAATTTCCACCACATTGTTAAAGCGACCGCCAATGTATCATTGGGATTTCTTCATACATGAAACTTTTATACTCTTTTGCAGTATTCATTATATTAAATATAATTTAAAACACCGTCATTATTGTAATATACATTCTATTTTATTAGAACATGTAATTGCATTTTCCATTTTATGTTTGAAGAAACTGGACCTAGCTACAAGTGTTATTAAAATTATACATTACCTATTATTTTAACATAAGTTTGTGTACTATATCTGCGTTAAATAAGTGATATAATTTACAAAATTATAAATGTAAAATATATAAACTTCTATATGCAAGAAAACTTTTAGTAAAATATACGTAAAAATTTAATTAAATTTAAAATTTCATTACACATCTCAGCAAAAATGAATCTCTATAAAAATTATTTATAATTAAGACATACATGTACTATATAATGCTTTAGAAAAATATTTTGATACATTTATAATAAAAATATAATCACAAATTGCAACGAAAATAATATTTCTTCTTTAAATCATGCACACAAACATTACATTAATATAAAGACTCTCTATATTGTTATATGCAACGAATCGTGCAAGGAATAATTAACCATGAAAGGGAAGCTATCAGTTAAAGCAAGATCCATGGTCAAGGTGAATGCTCCACGAGCATTAAAGTTTTAGGGTCACGTTGAGTGGAATGCGCGCAGGTGCGGCAACATCTTGTATCGCCAGGTAGAACTTTCTTCTTTCTTTCGCTCGAGGTCAGCATGGTGACATATGTTGAGAGAAATCAACGAATGATGCGTTCCTCCAGAGGCGTACATTTCTAAACTTTGAATATTTTTAGAATAACATCTTCCATCACCTTCAGATAATTTATGCAATGTATTAGAGGTAAAAGTATACTTTCTTCGTTACATACATGCCAATAGGTATCATAAACGAGGCATCTTAAAAAGAAAATTCGAAACTCTTCTACAATAATTCATGTTAATTAACTCATTAACATTGCGCGTCTTTCGTTTCAAAAAGAGAGAGAGAAGAACATGTATTTTTTATTTACATACAAATTTACATACAAAATTTACGTAAAAAATTATTATAGAACATATTTAATCATACAAAATCTTTTTGTATCAGGAAACACTATTTTACTTCCGTAATTTTTATTTTCTAATCTAAGCTATTTATAATTTTGCCATTTTATTTGTTTTTTTAGATAGTTATATAAAAATTGATGATATATAAATTAATGAAATAATATTTTGTATTAATTATATATAATAAAAAATTATATAATAATTATACGTTCGCGCACGCGCAATGTATGCGAATACACAATAAGATACATAGAGTCCTCCAGTATTGAGTATTCCACAATATCCCAATGTGCACTTCATATATTAAGGGTTAATAGCTATGGGCAAATGGCAATAGTATTGGAAAATCTACTAAGTGTCGATCTGTACGATTTATCAGCCCCAGTTGGCTTGTCACACCTGATCTCCTGTTAAATCGTCCACATATTCGGCAATCGGCATATACCACGCAGCTGGCTCGATTTTAACGAGCAACCAGAAGTGACTCAGTAAATTAACATTTGCTTGCTCATGAGCATCAAATAATGCATAATAAATTAGATTGTAATAACAGAATTATATATTTCCTAATTATAATTTACGCACGCAAAATTTTTATAATAAAATTTGCGTTCAAAAACTTTCAGAAATACCTATTGATCATTATTTTTAAAATTTAAACTCTATTAAAATAAAGTAGTATCTATAAAATAATGCACATATTTTTATGATTGATGAGCATTTTGTATGCTGTACGATAACAAAAGTGATTATTACATTTTATAAAACTTAAGGATCGATATCTCGAAGAAAAAAAGTACTTTCTTACTAATTCGAATAAGAATATTTTCTGTGCAGTCCTTTGAAATAGATTTATTCAAATTTATACAAGAAACGTGAATGCACAACGGGCTTTCGTTTCAATCGACTGATGACTTTTTTTTCCAATCAGCGCGGACTGACTTGACAAACCTCACTTACATAATTAAGGATGCCTTTCAAAGCAAAATGCTCGATTCTCTATTCT